AACAAACCAGAACAATCGACAGAGATCCACAGTGCAGCCACCAAAGAAGAAAGAGTCGAATTGGACGCCTCTGGAAGGTTGCTGCCGTAGCTCGACATGTGTGCTCAAGCAGTCAGGAGATGCATTAATTCCAGATTCATCAGGTGCGCTCACAAGATAGCACAGAATGTCACCCAGGCACAACGCAATGCCAACCATGCTCCCAAGACCAACTGCAACATCATCATCAAACCAGACAAAGGAGGAGATATCTTCAGACAGAATAGAACGGACTACTGCCAAGAAGCATACCCGACAACTGAACAACCAGGAACACTACAGACAACTACCTGCCAATACGACCAAAGAACACACCCGTCAACTCAACAGACTGATCAAGACCTTTGATCCAGACCTTCTCGTCCCATGTACTTCTTGCATAGAAGAATTCTACTACCTTCCGAAGATACACAAAGCCAACATATTTGGACGTCCTATTGTATCAGGCATTGGGACCCTGTGTAAGAACATCTCTGATTATGTCGAGGGCTTCTTGAAACCCATTGTACGAGGAACTCCCAGCTTCTGTTGCAACACTACAGATTTCTTACAGAAACTCATGGACCAGTCGAACCAGGAACATGCCTTGTCACAACGGACATTTCGGCACTCCGCTCCAGCGTCCCCATGATGATGGCATCGCTGCAACAGCCTCAGTACTCAATACCACCAACTGCCAATTTCCTGACGCCATTCTACGTCCTCGACCACAACATCTTCACCTTCGACAACCAGCTCTTCATCCAGACACATGGAACCACAATGGGGACCAAATTTACACCCCAATATGCCAACATTTTCATGCACAAGTTTGAGCAAGACTTCTTTGCTGCACAGGACCGCCAACCAATGCTATACACCAGATAGGTCGACATTTTCTTCCTTTGGACTCATGGCGAGGAATCACTGAAATGACTACACAACGATATCAACAAGTTTCATCCCACCATCAAACTTACCATGAACTACTCTTCAGAATTAGTCTCTTTCTTGGATACATGCATCTCCATCAAGGACGGACACCTCAGTACCTACTGTACCACAAGCCCGTGGATAACCTCACGATACTGTACTCCTCTAGTTTCCACCCTAAACATGTTAAAGAAGTCATCCCTATGGATAAGCCCTACGCACACACAGGACTTGCTCAGATGAGGAGGAAAGCGACAAACACCTGAATATGCTGAAAGATGCCCTTATAAGAATGGGATACAATGCTCAACTCATCGGTTGCCAGTTTCAATGTGCTACAGCAAAAAACTGCAATGACCTCCTCAGAAAACAGTCACAGGACATGACCAATAGAGTACCTTTCGTCATCCAGTACTTCCCTGCAGCGGAGAAACTATGCCATGTTCTTCACAGCCTTCAACATGTCATCAATGATGACAAACATCTCTCCAAGATCTTCCCTATGCCTCCATTTCTCGCCCTCAGACATCCATGAAACCTTAAATAGACCATCCTTTGCAGCAAACAACCCAGTATTCAGGACAACAGCGACCACAACACCTCACAACCTTGCCACAGCAATCTCTGCAAGACATGTCAGATCATCGACCTGATGATCGCTACCATCACATATGGAACACTTCCCACCACATATACGGCAGGTACTAATGTGACTTGGCCAATGTTGTCTACTTCGTACGTTGCAGGCAGGAATGTCCAGAGGCATGGTATATTGGTGAGACCATGCAACCGCTACAACAGATGAATGAACACCACGCAACAATTGCCAGATAGGAATGTTCCCTCCCAGTTGGGGAGCACATCTGCAGTTGAGGAAATTCAGCCTCCAATCTTCAGGTAAGCGTCATCCAAGGCAGCCTTTGAGATACACAACAACGCAGAATTGCCAAGCAGAAACTGATAGCTAAGTTTTGTACTCAATGAAGATGGCCTCAACCATGATGTTGGGTTCATGTTGCACTACATGTAACCCCACCATACTGTTCCATATTTGTAAAATCTTCCTTACTGTTCTGTTTTGACACCATCACCTTGATAACTTGTTATGATCTCTCTACCTTAATTAGTTCGTGCAGTTTTGGATTTCTTGTTACTTTGGTTAGACCCTTGGCTTGTGACTCATACCTGTTATTCCAGCTACTTGGTTTGTCTCCAGCACTATCTTACCTTTAATTTTTTGTAATTATCCCTCTGCCTTAATTAATCGGGCCATAGGTCATCCCTTGCTATTCAGCTGTTGACACTTTACTCACACTGTCTGACACTTTTGATCACCTGCAGAGACTTGTTATTCAATCTGTCCACTCTCCACTCTCACCATTTGTAGATCTTTTGGTCTCTCTGCCTATAAATTCTATGCCTGTGTGCTTCTCTTCACTTCACCTGATGAAGGAGCAGCACTCCAAAGCTTGTGATTTCAAATAAACCTATTGGACGATAACCTGGTGTCATGTGACTTCTGACCTTGTCCACCCCAGTCCAACACCGGCAGCTCCACGTCATCTTGTCTTATAGACTGGCCTTGAGAGCAGCTGGAACTTATCTTGGGAGAAGCTGAATCAGTCTTACCTTCTTATCTATTTCAAATGATATTCTCCAGAAGACTTCCTGATCCTGTAAATGCATCATTGTACTCCTCCAGGATCTGTTACACAGTTAATGGTTTAGTGTGCTGTAAACACTTTTTTTCTTTATTTTGGCATGTGAGGATAACCAATCCAAGCGTTAGACTTATTTTGGCTGAGAGAGTGGCATTTGCTTGATTACTATGATCCAGAACTGTAGAGCTTTGTTTATGCCACTGCATGGGACTTGTAATCTGTCTTCTCAGTATATGTATGGTGCCATCACAAAACCTCCACCTTATTTCAAGGGCTTCAATTTTGGATTAATATGCTTTACATAAGTTTGTGACAGTAATGATGTTTTATGTCATGCCAGTGTCTGCCTGATTCTTTATGTTGACCTGATCATCATCTTCTGTAGTCATCATTCCAACAGCCAGAAACAATTTTATAACTTATCAATCCATATGAAACAACCTGTGGTATGGTATACAGCGATTAATCAGAATCTTCAGCTGCTAGCTCCCCAACAGCCATTTATGCTTCTTCTTGCTATACAGTTGTTTGCAAAATAATTCCACTTCTTACAGTGAGAACACTGCATTCCCCTAATTGGAGATGCTGCCTTCTCCTTTATGGATATCCTCCACTGTATTACTTCCTGCTCTTTGTCAATGATAGTTCAGCCCTTTGGGCCTGGACTGTCTATCCGCATATTCCAAGGCCTGGTCTGTTCTAGCATGAATATGCTGTAGCTGCTAGCTTACAATCTCAGTACTTCTGCACGTGTCAATTGCTTTCCTGAGAGTTAGTTTCTCTTCTCTCATGAAACGTGATCTCACTGTAGGATTTTTTATAACTAATATGGCTAACAGGGCATGGTGGCTCAGTGGTAGCACTGCTGCTTCACAGTGCCAGGGACCCTGGTGCAATTCCACCCTCAGGTGACTGTCTGTGTGGAGTTTGCATGTGTCTGCGTGAGTTTTTTTCTGGGTGCCCCAGTTTCCTCCCACAGTCCAGAGACGTGCAGGTTAGGTGGATTAGCCATGGGAAATGCCGACCTACAGGGATAGGGTAGGGGGGTGGGTCTGGGTGGGATATTCTTCAGATGGTCAATGTTGACCTGATGGGCCAAATGGCCTGCTTCCACACTGTAGGGATTCTATGATTGTCTGATTCTAATATAATCCTGTCTTAGATTGTCTTTCTGTTTCACAAAGTGTTCTGTTGGCTGAGCTGAGTAAGTCACACATTGCTCAATTGGCTGTTTTCTTTTCGCCTGGGCTTTAATATTGAACATGTACCGTTCATAAATTATGCTCACTTAGGATTCAAAGTAAAAGTATGCTTTCAAGACAATCAAAATTCCTGCAGTTTGTTTCTTATGTTTTTCAGAGAAATTTAGCATGGAATACACTTTGAAAGAAACAGTCTCTTCTGAACAGTGAGAGGAGTGTAGCTACTCTTAGCTGCTCTGGCTTGTTAAACAGATTTGTCACTATTTTGCAGTTTAGCCACGGTGTATGGAACAGCTGTCAGTTTTGATTAATTTCACCTTTCATTTTGACTGGAGCTAGGAGAGAAGTTTCAACCATTGTCCTTATCCAGTGTTTCAGCTGTGACCTCGTTCTTTGTTTTTTTCCAGTTTCTTTCAGCTGGTGTGTAGCAACTTTCCTAGTTGTGAACATTCCTGTCAGTAGCTCTATCTTTTTAGAGCTCTTCAACACTCAACTACGTTTTTGGTACTGTGTTCTGTGCCCACGAGGCAGCTGTCTGGTCTACACTGAAGGGCCTATGAAATGGCTACCTTCATTGTGTGTGGACCTCATGGTAGTGGTTGCATGATTATGACAGTCCAGGAAGTACATTTGTACATGATTGCAATTCAGTCCATGCACATCAGATATTGAATTTGGAAGTATTGTTGATAATACAAAGAACAGGGAGTGATCTCTCTCCCAGCATCTATTTTTGCACCTTGATAAATACAGTGTTTAATGTGTATAAATCATACATTTATTTTAAAACTGAAGGTTAGAGAAAGTGTAAAGGATTAAAATGAAGTAGAAGCTCAGAGAGAGTGAGAAATCTATAAAAGCAAATGGACAAGGACAAAAATGTGGACAAGGGATCAAAGTAGAGACAGCAGAAAGAAAGTCTAAGAGCCAGAGAGAGTAGAAAATGAACAAAATCAGAATTATGGAGTGATGGATGAGCAAGGACAGTTACAGAAGGGAAATGACGTTTTTCATATCCAGATTTAATAATCATAAATATTCCAACTTTCTATAAAACATTATATTTCTACATTTACTAAAGATTATTATCACTGAGAAACAGTTCAAAATTGCTTCACTATTTTCTGTTTTTTAGTGGAATTAGATTTGCAAGAATAACATCTTGAAATATGTTATTTGGGTTTAGATGGAAGAACAGCTGGAAAACCTGAAAACTGAATCGCAAAACCAAACTGAAGCTTTGCTTAAGCAACAAGAAGACCGGTAATTCTATTTAATGGTGTCCTATGAATTAAACTGTATTGTTATCTTGGTTTCCTGAATGGGGAGAAATTGAGTTCAAACACAATTGCTGTTTGAAACTTCTCCATACAGTTTACATTGTGAATGCAAATATTTGTATATTTTAAAACCACAAATTTTATCTATTTTCCCTTTTTAAGTTCCTCATACGATGCTGAAGTAGTATTGTTCTCCCAAATTGTACACATTTTTCTGTTTAACTGGGCATTAACTGAGTCACTTTTTTAAACACTCCCTCTTTCTTTCTTTGGGGAATAGACTAACCTTGGTTAAGCATTTTTCCCTATAATACAGGTTGGAAACCTCAGATGCAATCATATATAGTGCATTGGAATACTGATGTGCTGCTCCATTATAACAAGTGTATATTAACAATGGTTAAAAAGTTCCAACTTCTCTTTAGTATTACTTCCTTATTATATACAATGATTCTACTAATGATAAAGGAATGTAATGACTGAGATTCAGTATACAGCTTTAATTTCATGCGTTCACTATGTACTCAGTTCATTGGAATATTTAGTGCAGTTCATAGGCACAGGACCCCACAAAAGAAGCACTCGCATGAACCACAATTCATAACTTGTCTGCATCTGTTAGGAACAGGATAAGTGAATCAGAAGATTAATCTACTTACCTTATTTTCATGACGGGGCATGCCCTCTTCGAAGCTGCATTTAAGTACAATGATGCTCTACAACTTCTATTCGAGTAACATTCAGTAGAAAGTTTGTGTGCCAGGCAGTATCTTCTTAAGGTGCAGTCCCTATAAAAAGAATAAAAACAGAACTCAGCAGGTCTGGCATCATCTGTGAGGAGAGAAACAGAGTTAATGTTTTGAGCCCAATACGACGACTCTTCTTCAATAAGAAGGATGTTGCGGTGGACTGTCAAACACGACAGAGCGCTGGTAATTGTTCTGGCCACTCACAAAGCCATATTGAAGCAACAGAAAAGGGACACCAAGAATCACCCATGTCATCCTGAATGTGCTATTTCAGGAGTTAGGAACAGAGCTCCTGTTACTGGCAGCTAAGGAGAGTGGAGATTGGTGGGGAAAGAAGCCTGGCCGACTGACATGGGAAGAGAATGGGTTCAGGTACCGAGGGCTGTCAGTGTCCAGAAAATGATGACATGACCATGGCAGATGAAGATTACCTGCCACTCTTGGGTGGCCAAGATGCGTGAATGCTCCATTCCACTGTCAACTGGAATTTACAGCCCCCTGTAGAAGCTTTTAAAGATCGTAGGGTTGGACTGTGTTCAAAATGAGGTAAGTGGCCTCCAGTTGCTATCCTGTGTTCTCCTGATCTGTCTCCCATATTATGGAATAAGCGTTAGACAGCCTTCTCTGGTTCCCTTCGGCCTATTGAGTCCATTAACCCTGACTGATGAATTAGTAATGGGTTAAGGGCCTCATTCTACTCCAATACTATATTATGTAGAGCAAGAGAAAGCAGAGGCAAGGCAATAGGTCAACAGCTTTTAGCATGAGGATTTTTGTGGAGCTCGCAATGGGTAGGGTGGGGGTAAGTGGTAAATAACTCTTGTGGAGTCCTGTGCCTATTAACCTCCTGCTCCCACAAAATCGTAGGGCAAGTTTAATGCTCTCCCCCTGCTGCTCCACCCCCTCCATCACTGGGGTGTGTCAGCCATGTTATGTCTCATGATCATTATGTCATTATTCTTTTAAGAGACATGTTCATGATATCATCACTGTATCATAGCATGTGACCTGAGGGTACAAAGATCTCGTACTCCATCTTATATCACTTGAAGCATGCTCCTCTGTTTAATTTAACAGCTTAATATTAACACAGATACTTTTCTGCCTCAGAAATGATTGTTTGTATGCAAAAGTTAATTGTAATAAATATCTGAGATAACAAGGTGTGGAGCTGGATGAACACAGCAGGCCAAGCAGCATCAGAGGAGCAAGAAAGCTGACGTTTTGGGTTTAGACCCTTCTTCAGAAAATAAATATCTGTTGGATTTTTCAATACCATGGTATCCATGCCCAGTTTTATGTTATGGGACAGTACATAAGTATTACTGCATCACATAAAACATCCTGTCGGAGGAAACCTCTCACCAGCTGGTAGAAAGGAGATTGGTGGGGAGCTCTCTGGGGCAGGCCTACCTTCAGTTCCTCTGTGAAACAATTTTAGCTGCTCCCAATGTGACATCACTGTAGCAGGTTTCAGATGGGTGGGCTGACAAACAACTTTTTGCTCAAGGGTGTCAGGGAAAATGATGCCCCATAAAATCCAGCCCACATTTCTCACAGACTACAATGTACACCTCACCCACTGCTCAATATACCACACTTCCAACACTAGAAAATTTTTTTTCATTAACTACTAACCCTTATCGTGAAAGGTGCCATGAAACAGCAATTACGTTTGGAGTGACAATGAAAACTTTGATTTCATCCATTATGTAATAGTGCATTCGGATAATGTGGAACTACAAGCTGCTAAGACCCTCCAGAAGCGGGTTGAGATGAAAGTGGAGGAAGATAGCCTGAAAAAGAGTCATAGAATCCCTACAGTATGGAAACAGGTCAATTTGCCCAACAAGTCCACACCATCCCTCTGCAGAGCATCCCACCCAAACCCATTCTCCTGTAACCTTGCATTTCCCATGGCTAATTCACCTAATTTACACACCCCTGGACACTGCGGGCAATTTAGCATGGCCAATCCACCTAATCTGCAGGACGAAACTGGAGCACCCGGCAGAACCAGGGAGAATGCGCAAACTCCATACCAACAGTCATCCATGGCTGGCATTGAACCCAGGTCCCTGGTGCTGTGAGGCAGCAGTGCTAACCACTGAGCCACCATGCCACCCAAGCTGTGGCCTCACTCGATGTAATACTTGCAGCTTCCAACTCAGGTTCTGGCAGGACATGTACTTTAGAGTCTAGGTTAGAATCAGATTCTACATCTGATGAGTCACAAGACTAAATAGGCTGCAGTCACTTCCAGCTTTAGACTTTTTAGAGGACAGAGCATCACACCAATTCTGCTGCAGAGATCTTGAAGGAGGACCTCCTTGGGGCAGACTGTAGAAAACATTGATCAACATATTCAATGAGATTCTTGCAGCATTGGTAAATCTGCCAGAGAGCCTCCTGTCAATGAGTGTGGAGGGGGCCTGCTCTAATTTGATTCAGGGCATTCCACAGTGTTTGGAACCGATAATTTGCAACATGGAAGTGGTGGGCATCTCCATGGAGCGTCTGCTGGCTGGTGTGTGAGCTTCAACTGTAATGTGGACAAAGTTCTACAGGTTTTATCAGTGCTGTCGTCAGAATCAAGGGACCTGGCTGCTGACATCAGACTCCATCTGATGCCATCCACTGCATGGTCAGTGCAGGCAAAATCATGATTTATTGACCTGGTGAAAGTGGCTTCTTAAACTACTGTAGTCTGAGTGATGTTGGTACACCCAGAATGAGGTTAGGGAGGGAGTTCCAGTGTTTTGATCCAGTGATCCAGTGACAATACATGAATGACAATATAATTCCAAGTCAGAATGTTGTGTGAATTGAAGATTTCTTTGTTCTTGCTCTTTACTCCAATATTTTTTGGATAAAGGCCAACATGCCAATCACTTTCCTAATTGCTTGCTTACCTACATACTAATTTACTACCCTCCTGTATGAGTACAGACAAGTCTCCCTGCTGATTAGTATTTAAAATGTTTATACCTTTTAAGAAATAATTTTTGCTTTTCTATTCTTACCAGAGTGAACGAACTTGCACTTTCACACGTTATATTTCATCTGCCTCCTTGTTGCTCTTGTCCACACTCTCTTTGCTCCCTCTTTGTGTCCTCATAGCTTACTTTCTCAGCTAGCATTGTATCACCCACAAACTTAGACAAATAGGGCAGATTTTCTGCTGGCCGGATAGTCATAATGCCAGTGTAGATGGGAGTTGTGCACACAGACCCTGTGGAATCCCTATTGTAGCAGACTCTGAAGGAATTGCTCAGGAAACTTTGCTCTTGGAAATTCCTCTACACCTGGAACCCTCTGAAAATCTTCTTAAATATCTGAAATTTTGTATGGTTCCAATCAAAGTAAGTGAAGTTGTTACTCAGCAAAGGTTGGGCTATTAAATACTTAGTCTAGCTCCTGAGTAACTATTAAAGAAGTCCATACTTACCTCATACACACCCAACAATGCCACCCTCCCAGACACACACACACACACACTAATCCAAAGCACCCAACCCTTAATCTATCCTCCACTGGACCCAATTGTTCCAACCTACCTTAATCACTTACCTGTCCTTGCTACCCTTCACCCTTTCACTTTTCCCAACCGAGCTGGTACAAGACGACATCCCCATCTGGCATTGTGCCTTCCCAGAACCCTAAAATCACACTTGCCTTACATGCATACCCTTTGATGGCATCTCTTAAAGTGGCTGCCAGGACCTTTAAATTTCAAAATACAGTGACTGACTGCTCTGAAAAGGTATCATCGTTTGCCTTCCTCTAACAGGATGCACTACAAAGGAACAGACAGAAGGGAAGTACAGCATTTCTGAAGGAGTCCTTTGAAAACCCAAGTATACCACAGCTACTGAGTCCATTTCACTATTTCAAAAAACATAAATTAATTTGTCACAGTTTTCATTTGTATATCTTTGCGTGTGTGTGTGTGCGCGCGCGCGTGTGCACACGCGCGCTTGTGTAGAGACAGTGTGTGAGAATGCAAGATCAGAATATTATCTAAATGGCCCATGTATTCAGAATGGCATGAAGATTATAGGTTTTAATTCCCGTTCTGTCTGAGTTAGACTTGAGGCCTCCATCCTCACCCTGCCTTGCGGTAAAATTACAGCATAAGCTGTGATTCACCAAATCTTTAATAATTCAGGATGCTACCTGGAGAAGAAAAGTAGTAGATTTACAGCATTTTCCCCAAACTAATGCCAAGCATACT